CCTGCATTCCTAGTCCTCGGTTTGGGTTTATGCTGTGAACATCCTGCCCCTGGAGGCAGCTGAGGAGAGAAAGGAACAGGAACTTTTACTGGGACAGAACCCTGCAAGGAGAACCTTCCTTCTGGGAGGCGACATCTACTTCCCGCAGTCGCTCCTGGTTCATTTTGTGGACAATGATGCCACCTAGTGGGAAACGGTAAGAACTCACAGCATTTCGACAACTTTACATAGATTTTCAAATAAAAATTTCCCTACTTTGTATTAGGTTGGTGCAAAAGTAATTGTGGTTTTGCCATTAAAAGTATGGCCAAAACCACAATTACTTTTGCACCAACCTAATGCTTAATTCTGTTACCTATTGAGTGCTGTTTGCTGGTTTCTCCCCAGGCCAAACTACAGCACATAAGCAATCAGGATTTCCTAATGCTATCACCAGTTTTTAAGATGGCTATAAATGATGTAAATAAATGTAAATTTAAAACTGTTGCAGAGTCTGGGCGTGGTGGCTCACACCTGTAATCCCAGCACTTTGGGAGGCCAAGGCGGGGTGGCGGGAGGGGGGCATCGCTTGATGTCAAGAGTTCGAAACCAGCCAGGCCAACATGGTGAAACCCCATCTCTACTAAAAATACAAAAAACATTAGCTGGGCATGGTGGTGGGCGCCTGTAATCCCAGCTACTTGGGAGGCTGAAGCAGGAGAATCATTTGAACCCAGGAGGCAGAGGTTGCAGTGAACCGAGATCACACCACTTGCATTCCAGCCTGGGTGACAGAGCGAGACTCCATCTCAAAATAAAATTAAATAAAACTAATGCAGAGGCCCGGCACAGTGGCTCACACCTGTAATCCCAGCATTTTAGGAGACCAAGGTGGGTGGATTGCTTGAGCCCAGGAGTTCAAGAACAGCCTGGGCAACATGGCAAAATTGAGTCTCAACAAAAAATTAGCAAGGCGTGGCAGTGCACACCTGTAGTCCCTGCTACTTGGGAGGCTGAGGTGGGAGGATTGCTTGAACCTGGGAGACAGAGGCTGCAGTGAACCAAGATTGCACCACTGCACTCCAGCCTGGGCAACAGAGCGAGACCCTGTCTCAAACACATACACACACACACACACACACACAAAACTGATGCACAGAAAGTCTTAATGAAAGGAGATATGCCACAATGACCATAGTGACAGGGTTAGGATAGTGTGGTTAGTTGTCTAAATGCTTTGTGATACAATTATGATAGTTTGTATTTCTTTCTTAGAAAGTTTGTGTTATTCATAGTACATTTTTTTAAGTAGTAGATCATGGTGAAAGTAAAGTTGGAAAATATGGAAGGGACAATAAAAACAAAATTACTCATAGTTTCACCACTCAAACATAACTGTTGTTTACATTTTTGGTGTACTTCTATTTAGCCTTTTTTTTTTAATTACAGAGTTTATGTATTTTTTAATTGCGATTATTTATTTTCACTCTGGTAATAATTCTATTTCGTTTATAATACTAAAAGTCACGCTTTAGACAAAGCTGTTTCCAGAAACTCTATCATTAAGATGCATTGGCTTCCTGGATATCTGATCTTAAAATAATTTTTAATACTTTTGTGTTATATGTTCATGTATATGGAGATATCTTCAAAAACGAATAATTGGACAGGTGAAAACAGTAAGAAGATGGTAATTTTTAAATTCACTGTGCAACATCCGGTGAGCCCACCAGCCGCCAGCAGGGTCCAGCTGTGTGCTGGCACCACCTGGTGGTCATGGTTATGAACGGTTTAATTCTCCGCCTCTCCTCTGCTTGGCACACTGAAAAGGAACAAGGCTGTGGTGAGCTCAAGGATACCCAGGAAATCTATGGATTGGAGTTTGCATTATGAGTACCAAATAGGCACCACATGAAAGGAAAGAAAGGGCTCATGGAATCTATGAAATGAAAAATTTAAACAGGAATATTTGGAGTTGTAGCCCTTGGGTCACCTCCAAATCATCATTTTTACAAATCTCTCTCTTTTTTTTTTTTTTTTTTTTGAGATGGAGTCTTTTTTTGAGATGGAGTCCAGGCTGGAGTGCAGTGGCACGATCTCGGCTCACCGCAGCCTCTGCCCCCCAGGTTCCAGTGATTCTCCTGCCTCAGCCTCCGGGGTAGCTGGGACTATAGGCGCACACCACCACGCCCAGCTAATTTTTGTATTTTTAGTAGAGACAGGGTTTCACCATGTTGGCCAGGCTGGTCTCGAACTCCTGACCTCAGGTGTTCCGCCCGCCTTGGCCTCCCAAAATGCTGGGATTACAGGCGTGAGTCATAGCGCCCGGCCACAATTCTCTTTTAAAAAGAAATCTCTTCTCCACTTGTAACTCATTTATCTTATTATCAAAAACCAATGTCTGTCCTTTCTCTGTGATAGGTAAGTTTTACGTTTTGAGAAGGTTCTGGGAGAGGCAGGTTGTACAAGAGAAAACATTCTTGTTTATTAGAGCCATAAACAGCTGATACGAATCCCAGCTCTGCCACTTACTAACTGTGTCCCAGGCTAAGTCATGTAATCTTTCTGGGCTGTTCCCTCTTCTCTGGAATGGGGGTAATCACAACTTCTTTTCTAGTTTATAAGGACTAGACATTATGCCTAGTGCTGTGTTTGTAGTGCAGGGTTCAGTGACGTGTAGATGTTTTTAAAATAAAAAGCCTTATGGATAAGTCAGATTAGGTTGAAACAATTAAAAAGTTAATTCAGTTTCCCAATTCTTGGACGCACAAGTTTTTCCCATGTTAACATCTCTAAAGATGTGTCTGTGGTGTGCCAGCGTTTTTCTTTCTCAATCGCTTTATAAAATAATGGTGCTCCTTCCGTTTGCTGGTGTTTTACACAGAATGTGGTAATGAGGTCAGCAGAATAAAGTGCTGCAGAGAGAAGTGTTTCAGTGCTTTGCGGTTGTGCCTGTAAAGCCTGAATATGAGACTTGGTGGTATGAGGTCTAATGGGGGCAACTCTCCCCCTGCCCTGTTCGCAGTCCCAGACTTGAACCTAACAGCGACTGTTTCTATGAAGTTTATTTCGAAAATGTGTGTTAAACCTTTTCAGGGCCGGGCGCAGTGACTCACACCTGTAATCCCAGCACTTTGGGAGGCCAAGGCAGGTGGATCACCTGAGATCAGGAGTTCAAGACCAGCCTGGCCCACATGGTGAAACCCCATCTCTACTAAAAATATCAAAAATTAGCCGGGCATGGTGGCAGATGCTTGTAATCCCTGTTTCTCCAGAGGCTGAGACAGGAGAATTGCTTGAACCCGGGAGGTGGAGGTTGCCGTGAGCCGAGACTGTGCCACTGTGCTCCAGCCTGGGCAACAGAGCAAGACTCCATCTAAAAAAAAACAAAAAACAAAAAAAAACCTTTTCAGATTCAGTAAGATGACACAGCGCAGATCATCCCCCAGCAGCTTGTAGTATTTTCCGCATACAGTGCACGTGAGGGGAGCAGGGGAGGGCTGTCTTGCGGGTGAAGCTGGAGGGTGGGTATGATCCCTTCTCAAGTCCTGCTACTTCCTTCTCTGCTGTGTCCACTGCTGTCAACTCTCAGGGACTGTTGTGAGGACTGAATGGGATGTTGCCTGGAGAATACCTGGCACTTAGTTGATTCCGTAAATAACAGCTGGTCGTACTCTCTATCTCCTTGGCAACTATTCCTGGTCTTTTTTTCTCTCTTTCAGTCCAATAAAGTTCCTGTCGTTCAACACCCGCATCACATGCATCCACTGACTCCGCTCATCACCTACAGCAATGACCACTTCTCCCCCGGCTCCCCTCCCACCCACCTCTCCCCAGAGATCGATCCAAAGACAGGTAAGTGGTCTGCCACTCAGGCAGCGCTGCTGCAGGCCAGGCGGCTTCTCTTTTGTGGGAATATAACAGCCCTTATATCAGGTTGACCTGGGGTCAAATCATCGCTCTTTGTCTCGGGAGTCTTTGGACCTTGTGTGCTAACTTTAGCCTTTTTTTTTTTTTTTTTTTTTTTTGAGACGGAGTCTCACTGTGTCACCCAGGCTGGAGTGCAGGGGTGCGATCTCGGCTCACTGCAAGCTCTGCCTCCCGGGTTTACGCCATTCTCCTGCCTCAGCCTCCGAGTAGCTGGGACTACAGGCGCCCGCCACCACGCCCGGCTAGTTTTTTGTATTTTTAGTAGAGACGGGGTTTCACCATGTTAGCCAGGATGGTCTCGATCTCCTGACCTCGTGATCCACCCGCCTCGGCCTCCCAAAGTGCTGGGATTACAGGCTTGAGCCACCGCGCCCGGCCCATTTTTTTCATCTGTACCTCCCCGTACCTTCCCCACCATAGGGTCATAAGGCCCAGAGGGAATTCAGCAGTGAAGCACAGGGCCTGGCTCCACAGGCAATGTTTGGGGTGACTGCCCAAGTCCAGCCCAGCTGTGGGCCGTGCTTCCCCACACCAAGACACCTTTGCCCTAAACTGAACATTTTTAAATAGATTCATCCGTCTAAGCAGACATAGAAGTGCAACCATAAAGCAGTGAGGCCAAACTGGCTTTTATTTATTTATTTATTTCAGACAGTCTTGCTGTGTCGCCCAAGCTGGAGTGCAGTAGTGTGATCTCAACTCACTGCAGCCCGGGCTCAAGCAGTCCTCCTACTCAGCCTCCTGAGTTGCTGCGACCACAGGCACATGCCCCCATGCCCTTGCCCAGCTAATTTTTGTATTTTTAGTAGAGATGGGTTTTTGCCATGTTGCCCAGGCTGGTCTCAAACTCCTGGGCTCAAGCAATCAACTCACCTCAGTGTGGGGATTGCCGGTGTGTGCCACTGTGCCCAACCTGAGCTGGCTTTTTTTGTTGTTGTTGACAACAACTTGCCCACCAGACCTGTCCATTCCAGGGAGCCACCGTCTTTATAGCATTCACACAGAGTGGCCAGGGGAAGGCAAAGCGTTTCTGGGGCCCTTCTTTGGAGAAATAAGTCACTACAAGTGACAGATCATGAGGAAGACACATGTGGAGGAGGAATCCAAAGTTTATTTCTCCATGAATGAGGCGGGCTTTCTAGAGACTTAGTTCACCAGTGACTCTTGTCATTGATCTTGTGGGTCCTGTCCTCTCTTCCAGGATACTGGCTTCTATATCACAGCCAGCTGGAAGGTACTCTTCACAGAGATGGAATCCATGCAGCTAGAGAAGGGTGCATTAGTCCTGCCTTCCCTGAATATGTCCTTGACTGACTGGTGAGAGCTGCTAGGGAGGTGACAGAGGGCAAGGACGATGCCACAAGCGCCCGCTAGGCTGCAGAGCAGCAGGGACATAGGGCAGGACACTCCCATTTGATGTTCGTTGCGACGCTCTGGCAGGGCGAGGGGCAGTCTGACACATCTCTCTTTGGAAGCAGGAATCCCCCGGCCCCCTCACCCATCCGAGCTGTCACCGTATTACCCACTCTCTCCCGGAGCTGTCGGACAAATCCCCCACCCCCTCGGCTGGCTCGTCCCACAGTAAGGAACCCACAGCCTCTCTTCCCCCTGCTCCCTCCTTGCGCCGAGCCCTGCCTCTGTGCCCTGCGTGCCCTGCACTGTGGAGCCCCTTCAGAGGCAAGCCCAGGACTAGGCCTCCCTGCTCCCGCCCGGGCAGCTTGCTCCCAGCTCTGCCTTCCCACTTCCTTCCCTTATTTCTCATCCCCTCTTCCCAAGCGCCTCTCCTCCCCTGCCCTGAGCTTTCCCAATGTGCTGACCGGATTTCCTCACCCTCACAGGCAAGGCCAGCCCGTGTACTCCCTTCCCCCTGGTGGCTTCCGGCACCCTTACCCCGCCCTCGCCATGAACGCCTCGATGTCCAGGTGAGTTCCGGGGCTGGGGCTGTCCACATGTTTGTCTTAGCGACCACGCCATTTCTGACCACGAAACAGCTTTTCCTTGCCAGTTAATGAGCAGGCATAGGGCTCACCCTTCCCCCAACCTCTCTTTGGTCAAGCACCTTCTTGTGCCCCGCGCTTCCCACCCCCAGGTCAGAATGGAGACCACTGGATCACTGTCCCCATCTCTCCAACAAAAGGATTTCAAAGCCCCAGCGCTCTGCCTCCTGCCGTGGGCTCTGGCACAGAAGCATTTTGAGGACAGGTGCTCCCCGACTTAGGACAGAGCCACGTCCTGATAAACCCATCGTACATTGAAAACACAACTTTCACCTTAGAATATTTGCAACATATGATGGTTTTATCTAGACATAACCCCATCTAGGTCAAACAGAGTACTGAATTCATACCGTTTTTGCACCATCATAAAGTCAAAAATCCTAAGTTGCAGACTGTCTGTATATTGCAGTGAAGCCAGGGACTGGGAGAAGATGGATTTTTCCTGAAATGATGTCAGGAGAGGAGACAGTGAAAGGGGATTTCTGTCTTAGGGACCAGCTCTACCTGACAGTGGAACCTCTGAGGACAGAGGAAAGCCGCCCACAGCCTAAGCCCTTCTTTTCCCCAGCGTGCCCGGGCCTCTGACCCTCCGCCCCTTTTGTGTGTTTCATCCCGCCTGCTTCCAGGACCAGATGGGCAGCCTGGGTGTTGGTGGGGAGAGGGAAGAGGCATTAGGCATCTCCCAAACCTGGTTCTCTAGAAGACGACAAATAGCCTTCTAGTCCTCAGACTCTGCCCCACGGACATACCTGTGCCCTCAAGGCAGAGAGCCACCGTGTCCTCTGCCGGGTGGCAGGTATCCAGCCTGAATCCCTCTGTTATCATTTGTTTCTATCCGGTGCACAGCCTGGTCTCCAGTCGGTTCTCTCCTCACATGGTGGCTCCTGCCCACCCTGGCCTGCCCACCTCAGGGATCCCCCACCCTGCCATCGTCTCCCCCATCGTCAAGCAGGAACCGGCACCCCCCAGCCTGAGCCCTGCAGTGAGCGCGTAAGTAAGCGGCAGCCTGGATTGCGGGTGAGAGGGTACAGGCTGTGAAGAGGGGTGTCCACACACTGAGCAGCAAATGCCATGTACTATTCTCTCTTAGTGTCACTCAGCAGGCAGCACAGCCTCCCCAGCCAGGCTCTCCCTCTCTGTCGGGACTTACTCCCTCGGACCTTCTGGGTCCCTGTCCTTTCAGGGACGTGGTGCATCTTCTCTCCTATTAAGAAAAGATTTACTGTCAGGTCTCAGAGGCTGAAGAGAACCTGAGAAAGCTTTTAACTCCCCCTCCTCCCCACCATAAGATATATGGAAGGGTGAGGCCCAGAAAGGAGACAGTGTTTTCTTAAGGACTCATGGTGGGCTGGTGGCCTAGCTGAGACGAGCACCAGGGTCCTTACCTTGGCCGTGTGCCATAAAGATGGCAGGAAGCCAAAGTCAGTGCTCCCTGGAGATCCCAGGAGACCCCACCCTTGGTTCTGCCCAGAGTGTCCCACACTGTGTCCTGTCGCCGTCGCCAGCACCTGCCAGCTCCAGTGAGAGCTCATCTCAGCACCCCCACCACACTCTGTTCCTCTGTCAGGAAATTAGAGAGTAGATTTTCAAAGAATCTGGCTTGGAGATCATTCAAAGGTGGGAAACTAGGGGAGGAAGGTGCTCAGGCGCTGAGCGCAGCCATGGGGCCACTTGAATTAACATCCAGGCAGCCCGCGCCCCTCCCCAGAGACAGTCAGCGGCGTCTCAGTGACAGGCGGGGATTGATGAGTCGTGTAACACCTGACACATACTAACCTACAATCACGTGCCTTCCCAGGAAATCACCAGTCACCGTGAAAAAGGAGGAAGAAAAGAAGCCCCACGTGAAGAAGCCTCTGAATGCCTTCATGTTGTATATGAAGGAGATGAGAGCCAAGGTGGTGGCTGAGTGCACCCTGAAGGAAAGTGCGGCCATTAACCAGATCCTGGGAAGAAAGGTAAGACCTGCCCTCACCCTCCAGGCCACGGGGGCAGCATCCCTGCATTGATGGCTCCCTGCGTCTCTGACCCTCTCTCCCCCAGTGGCACAACCTGTCTCGAGAAGAACAGGCCAAGTACTACGAGCTGGCCCGGAAGGAGCGGCAGCTTCACTCGCAGCTCTACCCGACCTGGTCAGCCCGGGACAACTACGTAAGTGCACGCTCTGGGCAGAGGATGCTCAGACCCCAAAAGCAGCTCTGCAAGAGGAAGAAGGGCAAAGGAAAGTAACTGCATTTGTAGAGGACTCTTAAGATGGGGGAGAAGCCCATACTTCTCTAGAAATAGGGAAGACGTTTTAATTCTCAGGAAGTCAACAAGTCCTGAGGACAGACTTCAGTTTATACATTTCCCTTTGAACTGGACTCTGCCCTCGATTTCATAACACAGGGCACATGTTTAGCTGTGGTGGGAAGAGTGTCTCTAGCCACTCCTAACCCATGGCTCAAAGACCAGTGTGTGATCCTCAGGGGGCGTGTCTCTGAGCTCCCGGAAACCAAGCCAATTTTTGCATGCGTGTTCTTCTTTGCTTTTTTTCTGGTAAGAGGACCTACAGTTGCATCAAACTTTCAAAGGGACCTGGGACCCCTCAGAAAAGATCAAGAAGCACTGTTCTAGGGACAGAAATGGAAAAACAGAGTCTGAAGGGCAGTGGAGGGAGGAGGCCTTCCAAGAAGGCGTTGGACACCCAACCTGGAGGGGAAATGCATTTGTAGGGGAGGAAGGGCTCCCTCTGCCTCCTCGCGGGTTCCCACGGGTGTGATCTGAATCGTTTCTCTCTCCACACCCTCCCTGAGGGATCAAGAGCAGTAAAGGGCAACGTCCTGTATTCTCTCTGATCTGGGAGCCCCTGAGAAGCCAGCATTCTTCTCTCCCGGCTTAACTCTTCCTTTTGCTATATTTTCCAGGGTAAGAAAAAGAAGAGGAAGAGAGAAAAGCAGCTGTCCCAGACACAGCCACAGCAGCAAGTCCAGGAGGCAGAGGGTGCGTCCGGGGGCACTGGCCTCTTCTCCTGCTTTTCCTTCCGTCACAGCCACACCTGCCCATGCCGTCTCTAGCTCCATGACGGGTCAGGGCTTCTGCCTCGGTGTTCGCGGGCAGGTGTTACTACCCCTTTCTCAAGGTGGCCACTTAAGAGGCTCTGAGGTGTGAAGGCATTTTCCCAGGTACTCTGCTTCAGTGGTGGTGGTAGGATTTGATCCCAGGACTTTGTCACTTCAAAGCCTAGGCACTTTTTAATTCCGTTGAAAAGTGAATCATCCTACCTGAGGGTTAATGGAATGAGGCTGAAATTGTCTTTGAAATGCCCTTAGGAAAGCAGCACATGAGCCCCTGACATCCCACCTGTCAGTGGATCGAGGACAGCCAGGGTTTCCTTGGATGTTTCTTTGGTTGAACACCGGAAAAAATAGTTTGCTTGGGTTTAGGAGGCACTTTGTGTCAAAACCGTGTATAAAATCTCTTTATACCAGAATCATGCCTAGCACAGAAAGATGCTTACACTGTGACGACTATTATTAATATTTAGGTCACACCTCCGTCTCATGCTTACTCCAGGACAAGTGTATCGCTGCTTGCATGATTTAAAGTGCTTTCAGTCTCTCTCCTTCCTTCGTCCCTTCCTCCCTCCCTGCCTCCCTCCCTTTCTCCCTCCCTCCCTTTCTCCTTCCCTCCCTCCCTATTTCCTTCCCTCCCTTCCTCCCTCCCCTCCTCCCTTCCTTCCTTCCTTCCATTACACATAGGAGTGCACATGAGTGGGACCCGTGCATGCTGCGGAACCCGCTGTCTGGCGCGCTGCTCAGCAGGCATGCGCTCCCTCTGACTGTGTTAATACCATAAGCCAGAGATTTCAAAGCAAACCGGAGCTTCATCCCAAAAGTTGCGAGCTTTAGAAAGAGGGAGGGTGGTCCTGTGAGACACTGAGCTGTCTTCTCTCCAATCCGATGCTGGGTGGATCTTCATCAGTTTGGGCGTTGCCTCTTCTCTGTGCGCTGGGTATTTGCGAATGCAGTTTCCTAGTCTCGAAAGCCTTGGAAGTAATGTCAGGTCCTCGCCAAAAGCATGCCTGTGTCTCCAAAGCACGTGTATCACCAGGGCTGTTCCTCAGCCTCCGCCTCTCCCAGAGCTATAGCTGCTCACTCTTTCTTGTATTTTTCCCCCTAGGTGCTCTGGCCTCCAAGAGCAAGAAGCCATGTGTTCAGTACCTGCCCCCCGAGAAGCCCTGTGACAGCCCTGCCTCCTCCCACGGGAGCATGCTGGACTCCCCGGCCACCCCCTCTGCAGCGTTGGCCTCACCAGCTGCCCCTGCTGCCACCCATTCGGAGCAAGCCCAGCCCCTCTCCCTCACCACCAAACCAGAAACCCGGGCCCAGCTGGCTCTCCACTCTGCTGCCTTCCTGTCAGCTAAGGCTGCAGCCTCCTCCTCTGGCCAGATGGGCAGCCAGCCTCCCCTCCTGTCCCGGCCCCTCCCCCTTGGGTCCATGCCCACAGCTCTGCTGGCCTCTCCCCCGTCCTTTCCCGCCACACTCCATGCCCACCAGGCCCTCCCGGTGCTACAGGCCCAGCCTCTTTCCCTGGTCACCAAGTCTGCCCACTAAGCTGCCCCCTGACCCCTGCAGGCTGTCACATGACTCATTGAGTAGTAATGATTCAGAAGAAAAAGAAAAAGGAGACTTTATTGGTCAATATTTGACCACTCTGGACTGTTCTGTAAAGTGGCTGGTAACAACAGCACTTTACAGTTTGTAGATGTAACCAGTAGCTGATCTTAAGGCTTTTTTAAAAAACAAAACAAAACAACAAAAAAAAATCTTTATAAGAAAAAGAACTGAAAAGTAGCGTGCTGTTCGTCCCGTAGGTGCTGTGGTGGATGGACCTGGGCAGAGGGTGCCTCTCTCTCTACCTCTCTCGCACTTTCTATCTCCTGTCTCTTCTCGCCCCCGCCACCTGCCCCAGCTTCCCCCACTCCATCTGCAGCTCTGCCATTGTGGTATTTCCTGTTACCCAGTCCAAGTTTTCATCGTCTGCTCAATACCGTGGGTTCTTCTTCGTCCTCTGTCCTCTGCCCAGTGTGAGGCCATCACCATGTGAGAAGACATCATGGCCTGATTTGCTGCCACCAGCATCCTCCCTCAGTGGGCCCAAACTCGCCAACCCCAGCTTTCAGTGGAGCAAGCGGGTCCTCTGAAATGGTTTCCCCCCAACCCCCCCATTTAAAGGGACTCAAGGTGCCTGCCACTTCCTCAGCGAAGAAGTCTGTGTTCCTCCCTGTCCTTGCCAGTGGCGATCATCCCCTCACAGTCCCAGAGTGGCAGGCAGGGCCGGCCCCATGGTCTGGCTCCTGTCACCTGGGTCCGTGCCAGCACAATCTGCCAAAGTTCTAGAGACCTTGTTCCCTTCCCCATCACCTCACATGCTTCTTCTGTGTGTATTTCTTTTTGTTTTTATGGTTTTTGGAGCAATTTAAATTCCCAGTTGTTTATTTTCACAAAAGAAAATAAAATTGCAGTTGCAAGACCTTTTCTGAGTGTTTCTTTAGTGCTTTTGTTGAATCAAACCACCCGTTTCACTCCCAAACCCTGTGTTAGACTTTCGCATATATGCAAAGGAAGATCGCCACTTGCCACAGGGGACTGTAAGGCATGCCTGACACCCTCAGAAAACCTGAGCCCAGCTTCCTATCTCCAATGTACACAGGCCAGTCAGTGTCTGTGACTGAGGTGCAAAGGGGGGAATCATGTTTACAGTTAATTTAAATGAATTTGCCACCTGGAAGACATTCAGCTTATGCTTCTATCACCCATTTGACTTGTAATTGCCAAGATGTGAGGAAGCATCTTTTGGACACTTTCCATAGTATCTAGCACCACAATTAATTTTTTTGTAACAGCTTTATGGAGACATACTTCAGCCATTTAAAGTTACGCTTCACCCATTTAAAGTATACAGTTCAACTGGGCAGAGCCGCTCTTGCCTATAATCCCAATGCTTTGAGAGGCTGGGGCAGGAAGATGACTTGAGGCCAGGAGTTCAGGACCAGCCTGGGCAACATAGCAAGACCTGATCTCTTAAAAAAAAAAAAAAAAAATTAGCTGGGGATGGTGGCACACAAGCCTGTAGTCCCAGCTACTCAGGAGGCTGAGGCAGGAGGATCGCTTGAGCCCAGGAGTTCAAGGCTGCAGTGAGCTATGATTGTGCCACTGCATTCCAGCCTTGTCGACAGAGTAAGACTCTGCCTCAAATAAAAAATGTATACAATTCAGGCCAGGTGTGGTGGCTCACTCCTGTAATCCTAGCACTTTGGGAGGCCGAGGTGGGTGGATCACCTGAGGTCAGGAGTTTCAGACCAGCTTGGCCAACATGGCAAAATCCCGTCTCTACTAAAAATACAAAAATTAGCCAGGCATGATGGTGCGTGCCTGTTATCCCAGCTACTCAGGAGGCTGAGACAGGAGATTCACTTGAACCTGGGAGGCGGAGGTTGCAGTGAGCCGAGATGGCGCCACTGCACTCCAACCTGGGCAACAGAGCAAAACTTCATCTCAGAAAAGAAAAAAAAAGTAGACAATTCATCGGCTGTATGTTCAGAGTTACGCACCTATCACCACAGTTGATTTTAGAAAGATTTTGTCCACCCCAGAGGAAGCCCCATATCCTTTGAAAATCACTCCACATTTTGCCCATCTCCCCCAGCCCTAGGCAACCGCTAATCTACTTTCCGTCTCCGAACTTGTCTATTCTAGACATTTCATATACAGTCATGCATCGCTTAGCAACTGAGACAACGTTCTCACAAATGCGTCGTTGGGCAATTGCACTGTGCGAACATCATAGAATGTAGTTAGAAAAACCCAGATGGGGGGCCAGGCGCGGTGGCTCAAGCCTGTAATCCCAGCACTTTGGGAGGCTGAGATTGGCAGATCACAAGGTCAGGAGATCGAGACCATCCTGGCTAACACGGTGAAACCGTGTCTCTACTAAAAATACAAAAAAAAATTAGCCGGGCACGGTGGTGGGCGCCTGTAGTCCCAGCTACACGGGAGGCTGAGGCAGGAGAATGGCGTGAACCTAGGAAGCGGAGCTTGCAGTGAGTGGAGATCACGCCACTGCACTCCAGCCTGGGTGACAGAGCAAGACTTCGTCTCAAAAAAGAAAAGAAAAGAAAAAAATCCAGATGGTATACACACCTAGGCTATGTGGTCTAGCCTATTGCTCCTAGGGTACAAGCCTGTACAGCATGCTACTGTAGTGAATACTGTAGGTGACTGTGACACAATGGTGAGCGTTTGTGTATCTAAACTTAGAAAAGGTGGCTAGGTGCGGTGGCTCACACCTGTAATCCCAGCACTTTGGGAGGCCAAGGCAGGCAGATCACCTCAGATGGGGAGTTCAAGACCAGCCTGGCCAACATGAAGAAACCCCGTCTCTACTAAAAATACAAGAATTAACGGCGTGGTGGCAGGCGCCTGTAATCCCAGCTACTTGGGAGGCTGAGGCAGGAGAATCGCTTGAACCCAGGAGGCAGAGGTTGCAGTGAGCCAAGATCGCACCATTGCTCTCCAGCCTGAGCAACAAGATCAAAACTCTGTCTTAGAAAAAAAAAAGATAAAAGATGGCAGAGCTGTATAGGGCATTTCCCAGGCATGCAGCGTGCGGGACTGGGAGCTGCTCTGGGTGTGTCAGTGAGTGATGAGTGACTGTGATGCTGTACACTTAGGCAATACTAGGTTTATACAGAATTATTTTTCTTCAAGAATAAATTAACCTTAGTTTAACTTTTTTACTTTATCAACTTAAACACTTTTTGACTCTTGTAATAACACTTAGCTTAAAACACAAATACATTGTACAGCTGCACAAAAATATTTTCTTTATATCCTTATTCTGTGAGCTTTTTTCTAATTAAAGTCTTTTGGGGGCTGAGTGGAGTGGCTTACGCCTGTTAATCCCAGCATTTTGGGAGGCCGAGTTGCGCAGATCACTTGAGGTCAAGAGTTTGAGACCATGACCTTGAAACCCCAACTCTACTAAAAATATAAAAATTAGCCAGACATAGTGATGGGCGCCTGTAATCCCAGCTACTAGGGAGGCTGAGGCAGGAGACTCTCTTGAACCCGGGAGTGGAGGTTGCAGTGGGCTGAGATCACACCACTGCACACCACTCTGGGCAGCAGTGCGAGACTCTCTCTCAAAGAAAACAAAAACAAAAACTTTTTTTTTACTCCTTAAACTTTTTTGTTTAAAACAATAAAAGTATAGCAAATACATAAACCAGTAACATAGTCATTTCCTTCATTAAAAAGTACTATAGGCCGGCGCAGTGGCTCACGCCTGTAATCCCAGCACACTGGGAGGCCGAGGCAGGCGGATCACCTGAGGATAGGAGTTCGAGACCAGCCTGGCCAACATGGTGAAACTTTGTCTACTAAAAATACAAAACTTGCCTGTAGCCCCAGCTACTCGGGAGGCTGAGGGCAGAGAATCACTTGAAGCTGGGAGATGGAGGTTACAGTGAGCGGAGATCGTGCCATTGCACTCCAGCCTGAGAGACAAGAGTGAGACTCTGTCTCAAAAAAAAAAAAAAAAAGTACTATTTACTGCACATAATTCTGTGTGATAGACTTCTTTATATCACTGGCAGTGCAGTGAGTTTGTTTTCACCAACATCACCACAAACATGTGTGACACTGTGCATTGCCTTAGGATGGCTGTAGTATCACTAGGCAGTAAGAATTTTTCAGCTCCATTATAATCTGAGGGGACCACCCTTGTATATGCAGTACATTGTTGAACATAAGCAGTTATTCAGCCCCTGACTGTTTCTTTGAAAAGGAACTCTGACAGCAGAGAAAGGCCTGGATTTCTATCAGATGGGCTTCAACCCTTGAAGTCTCTCCAGGGCTTTGGGTAAAGGAAAGACAGAGTCCATACACACACAGGAATGGATGCAGAGCCAGGGAAAGGAAGCCCAGAGCAGTTATAGGATAGTCTGAGAGCCCTTAAAGATATTCACTCACTTTGCATTTTCCCAGGGGCCTGCCCTGCCTGAGTCTAGGTAGCTGGACTCCAAGTTCTGAGCAATGGGCACAGTAAGAGAGAGATCCATGGGGGCCGTGGGCCTTCCTCTCTGTCCTGGAGCTCACAGACCCTCAGCCAAGCACTTGTGCCTACAGATGTCAGTGTGAGGAAGGGGCATGAGCTGGTGAACATCTATTGCCCCGTCGTGGTCTCCAATGCAGGGCTGTTCAACACCTATGAGCACCTACTGCCGGGGAATGCCCGCTGTCTGCCAGGTAAAAGGCGGGTCTGCACTGCCCCTCTTGCAGGTTCCCCAACGTGTCCCCTTCTGGAGCCAACTTGCTCCATCTGGGTCATGCTTCCCCTCTTCTTGGCCGGCCCTCTGATTGTACTTAAGCAACAAGGTGAGAACGCTGCTTCTAACATCATCCTAACCCTAGCATTGAATGTTGGGGAAACTGAGGCCCATACAGATTAATTACAGTCCTGAGCCCACTCAGCTGAAAGGGGCAGGGCTGAGTGGAGTAGCTGGTCTGATTTGAAAGCACCAGCTCCTCTCACCCTTCTGGGTTGAGGGGGCTTCCAGAGAAGAGGCCTCAGGAGGAGAAGGAGGAGAGCAGGCAGCCCACAGGGAGCAGAGCCGCTGAGGCACCGCGGCTGAGAGGTCCCGCCACTTCATGTAACTGGATGCATCTGGTGTGATCTGAGGAATGGAGGCCGCTGGGAAGGGCGAACTAGGAACCCAGCAGGGGTGAGAGAGAGGGGCCCAGATGAAGGGCTCAGGCTGGGGCGGGAGCTGGAGAGCACAGAGCAGCTCCGGATGTGTTGTGGCAGAAACCTTGGCTGGTGCAGGAGCCAGAGAGCAGGGGAAGGAGCCCTGACCCCAGAGGGTGGGCCCGGGAGCTGCTCCCTAAGGAACCGGGGAAGGGGACAGCAGAGCGGGCTGGGGGGTAAAGCGAGGTCCTGGCCTTCCTCATGGGGACTGGGTGGTATGTGAGGTGTGATTGTCTCCAGGGCATAGGGTGGCTCCACCAATGCCAGCCTCTCTTTCCCTTGCCCCACGTGGCTGGGCCTACAGCCTGCACGGCCTCCCCTCTCTCAGACCTGGGGAGCTGAGGGGGTGAGGCAGAGACAGCCCAGGGGCAAAGCAGGGGGGTTGGGCGTGGTGCACAGACAGGCTCTGCCTTTGTTACTTCCTGCCTTTCTCTCTGTGACACTGATCTCCCTTCTCCCCTGTCCCAGGACCTCTGGGAACTGACACTGTCCTGGCCAGGCCCAGCATCTTACCCAGGCAGCCCAGCTAGAGCCATCTGTCCCTCTTGCCCTCCATCCCTGTTCCTGTGTCTCTTCCTCCTGAATACAACCTGAGGGCCTCACAAATATTTAGTTACACGAATGAAGCAGGCCGGGCGCAGTGACTCATGCCTTCAATCCCAGCACTTTGGGAGGCCAAGGCGGGCAGATCACTTGAGGTCAGGAGTTCGAGAATAGCCTGGCCAATGTGGTGAAACTCCATCTCTACTGAAAATACAAACATTAGTGGGTGTAGTGGTACGTGCCTGTAATCCCAGCTACTCGGGAGGCTGAGGCAGGAGAATCGCTTGAGCCTGGGAGGCGGAGGTTGCAGTGAGCAGGTATCATGCAATTGCACTCCAGCCTGGGCGACGAGCAAGACTCCATCTAAAAATAAATATTTTTTAAAAAAGGAAAAAGCAGAGGAGCCAGGGGCCCAGCATCCCTCAGGCAGGTGCCAGAGCTGGTCCCGGGAATGGGAAGACAGCAGAAGAATCTGTGGGGGCAGTTTCTGGAACACCGGTCTCGGGTCATCTGCTGAGGAGTGGGGAAGCCCAGCTGTTTAGGTCTGGGGGACATCAGGTGCCCCACAGTGGCTGCGGCCTCTGCCATAGTGCGGTTCTTCCCTCCTCCCTCCAGCTGAGTCCTGAGATGCCAAGTACCAGTCAGGCTGCCTGCCTTTGCTCACATGCATGGCATCCCTCTGGAGGCCTACGTGTTCTGACATCACACTAGGAATCATGCATGTTCACTCACTCCATGGCTGCATAAAAGTTAATCCTGAAATCAGGCTGGTAATGAGCTGCTGTTCACGTGTGTGGTCTTCATAGAGGGAGCCCAGTCACGCGCTTCCCACTTCAAGACACGAAGGGGAAGATGGGAGGCAGTAAGCCTGACCCTCCTGCGGGTGCTGAGCCAGTTCATGGGGGCTGAGGACCAGGGCTGGGGGTCGCCTGCCTCTGAAGGGTCTTGGTGTAGAGGCGGGGGAGGTGGAAGAATAGGAACCCAGGGCAGTGTCCTTCCCAGGCAGGAGGAGATAGAAGAGCAGGCCCCTGCCAACGTCAAGTTGAAACAGCTGTAAAACTGGCCTGGGCACTGAGGATAAGGCTCAGGACACAGTGAGCGGGCACCCTGAAGCTCTCCTAGGAGCAGGGAGTGGCCGTCTCTGGTCATAGTTCATACAGGCACCAACCACTCCCCTTGGCAGGTGTGAAGCAGCAGCTGGGGATGGTTCGGCCTGGCTTAGGCATGATGTCTGTTTTCATCTGCCTGCGAGGCACCAAGGAGGACCTGCATCTGCCGTCCACCAACTACTATGTTTACCATGACACGGACATGGACCAGGCGTAAGACACACGTGTCTGTGTGTGGTGTGTATGCGTGTGGCCTGTGCCTCCCTGCTTGACTCAGAGAATGAGCAGAGGATATGGAATGGGAGGAAATGGGCAATATCTAATTTGCTCCTGGAAGTTTGTCACCTCAAGGCTGTGGCTCAGCTTCAGTGGGGAGTCCCTAGGGCTGAGCAGTCCTTGCAGTGGTTCTGAGGTTTTGAGGACAAAAGCCTGGAGATCGCACCACACTCCTGTCACACGCAGGATGGAGCGCTACGTCTCCATGCCCAGGGAAGAGGCTGTGGAACACATCCCTCTTCTGTTCATCGCTTTCCCATCAGCCAAGGATCCGACCTGGGAGGACCGATTCCCAGGTGGGGCTGCGGGTCCCGGGTGAGGGGCTGGAGGGAGGGGCCGGGCAGTACTAATATCAGCTCTGACCCCCAGACCGGTCCAGCATGATCATGCTCATACCCAGCGCCTACGAGTGGTTTGAAGAGTGGCAGGCGGAGCTGAAGGGAAAGTGGGGCAGTGACTATGAGACCTTCAAAAACTCCTTTGTGGAAGCCTCTATGTCAGTGGTCATGAAACTGTTCCCACAGCTGGAAGGGAAGGTAGGGGGTAAAATATTTGGGGTGGTGACGGACCTCATGGTGCCATTTCTGCCCTTTCCTTGCAAAGACAGGGGAATTGGGCCCCACGACATGAGCCCCAGGGAAGGACAGGGCACCCATACCCACAGTCAGCAAATGGGAGACAGTGGAAGAGGGAGGGGAGCCAGGATCTCACGTGCCCGCCCCACCCTTTGTGCCCTCAGGTGGAGAGTGTGACTGCAGGATCCCCACTCACCAACCAGTTCTATCTGGCTGCTCCCCGAGGTGCCTGCTACGGGGCTGACCATGACCTGGGCCGCCTGCACCCCCGTGTGATGGCCTCCTTGAGGGCCCAGAGCCCCATCCCCAACCTCTACCTGACAGGTATACTCACTGCCCCATGTTGTCAGGACCTGAGACCCTGGGCCCCTGTCGCCCAATGTCCTCTCTTCCTGTCCTCAGGCCCTGCTGTCCCCTGCAGCTTCTCATCCCCTGAGCAGGGCTGCCTGGGCAGGCTGTGGCCCTGGTCCCGATTGGAGCCAGCTCTGGGTGGCCCTCATGTGGAGGGAAGAGCACCAGGGCCCCACCCTCCCCTGGGCCTGCCTGGGTCACGCTCAGGGGCCTCTGCTCTTGCCTCCTAGGCCAGGATATCTTCACCTGTGGGCTGGTCGGGGCCCTGCAAGGTGCCCTGCTGTGCAGCAGTGCCATCCTGAAGCGGAACTTGTACTCAGACCTTAAGGATCTTGGCTCTAGGATCCAGGCACAGAAGAAGAAGAATTAGTTCCATCAGGGAGGAGTCAGAGGAATCTGCCCAATGGCTGGGGCATCTCCCTTGACTTACCCATAATGTCTTTCTGCATTAGTTCCTTGCACATATAAGGCACTCTAATTTGGTTCTGATTCCTGAAGAGAGGCCTAGTTTAAATCACAATTCCGAATCTGGGGCAATGGAATCATTGCTTCCAGCTGCGGCAGGTGAGATCATTATGCCTTTTATAACATCCCGTCCCTACTAACAGGATATTGACTTGGATAGCTTGATGTCTCATGACGGGCAGCGCTCTGCATCCCTCACCCATACCTCCTCACTCAGTGATCAGAGAAAATTCCATCGGTGGATAGAATGCCTGGCAGTGTTGTCAGCTCAAGCTGGTGGGTTCAGTTCTGTCCTGAGGCTTCTGCTCTCATTCACTTAGTGCTGTGCTGCACAGTTCTACACTGTTGAGGGAGAAGGGAGACCAATGAGGCTTAACTCAAAACCTGGGCATTGTTTTGGTTGCCATTCCATAGGTTTGGAGAGCTCTAGATCTCTTTTGTTCTGGGTTCAGTGGCTCTTCAGGGCACGGGAAATGCCTGTGTCTGGGCCGGTGTGGTCTGGAGCTTTGGAGTAACAGCGGGATCCATCAGTTATTAGGGGGCACGTCAGATGATCATATCCAGTTCATATGGAAGTCCTGGGTCTGCCTTCCTTATCATCGGGGTGGCATCTGGTTCTCGATGTGCCAGCATCAAGGCACCTTCAGGGAGCTCAGTACCTGAGCCTCAATCAAGCCTCATCCTCCAAATATGTGGGGAAGGGTGACGCAGGGAAGGGTGACATCAGGAGTCAGGTCATGGACTGGTTAGAAGATTACCTTATTGTGTTGAGGCAGGCTGCAAGGCATTCCAGACAACGGCACAGCAGGGGACAGCACAGGGAGGCAACAGAGTGTTCCCAGCAATGGCCCAGCTACTGAAAGCAACAGAGGCAGCCAGGCTGGGAGGAGTCAGGTGGTAGGAGAGTTGGTCAGGAGCAGAACATGGAAAGCCAGAGAAAGTGTGCAAAGCTCAGAAATGGCATCTGTAATTTACTGGTACCGTGTGTGTTGGATGGAAGGTGAAGGAAGGCTCAAAAGGCATAAAAAGGACCTTTCACTTATGTTAAACTGACATGCCAAAGGTCTTATTGTAGTTCATCTTAATGTAATATTCATAAATTTATTGACCGGGTGCCGTGGCTCATGCCTGTAATCCCAGCACTTTGGGAGGCCGAGGTGGGCGGATCACGAGGAAGAGATTGAGACCAATCCTGGCCAACATGGTGAAACTGCGTCTTCACTAAAAATACAAAAATTACCTGGGCGTGGTGGCGCACACCTGTAGTCCCAGCTACTCAGGAGGCTGAGTTAGGAGAATCGCTTGAACCTGGGAGGTGGAGGTTGCAGTGAGCCAAGATCGCACCACTGCACTCCAGGCTGGTGACAGAGCAAGACTCTATCTCAAAAAAAATAAAATTAAATTAAAATAAAATAAAATAAAATAAAATAATGTATTAAATCCATTGCTTTAACATTCTGAAATTTATTTTGGTTTCTGTTCAACAAAACTACATTGGGATGGCATTAACAGAAGCTCGGAAAAACATTATGCACTGAAAAATACTTCTCATTAGACCGCAACAAGCTTTAAAAAAATAAAATTAAGTAATTAAGTTACAAAAAGCTGAAAATATAAAACATTGTGGAAACAGTAGCCATCTATTAACTGGGAAAATACAAAAGAAGAGAAACAATTTCAACTATTAATAATGTATCGAACATGAAGTCTGGTGAATTAAAGGGGTATCTATCAGAGGATGAAGGGCTGGGCTTACCCACTGACGTACTATACAGCTCAGACCCAAACCCTTCACAAAGGAGACTCTAAGTTTACATCTGACTTGCGGAACTAGCTGAATGGAGTCACTGTTAGCTCTGGAGATACTGTTAAATTAAACCTCAAAATCTCTCCCAAGGACTCTTGCTCAAGCAAGTCACACTAAACCCAACCTTTCTAACAGGGGTTTTCAGGAAATGGCCTGCAGAAGCACAGGGTCTGGTGCCTCACACAGCTTCCTCCACACTGCAAGTTCTCTAGTTCTCATCACGCCCACAGCATCTGGCATCAGGTCACCCTGTACAGTCAAGGGCCACAGAATTAACCAGCAGGGAAATTCCAGAGGTTTAGAATTCTATCAGCACATGTGTCACTGGAAGCCATCATGGGGGTACCATGTCAGAGCATATGTAACTAGCTGTCAAGTCTTTCCCCGTTGCCTCAGCCTTTCTACAGACTGGCCTTCGACCTCCCCTGAGTCTGGAACTAGACTGTTTCAGCAACTCTCTTCAGGGATCTGCAGCAGGAAAATTGCTTCCTCTATTAACATCTATGACTGAAGCACAGATTTGTCTAACAGAAATCACCCTTCACCCAAAAGCTGGGTGCAGAAAGGGAAGCCCTTAGCTGACTATAGGAGGTGCCTCTTGTGGCTGCACGTGCTTCTTACACCCCCCAGCTTGAACGACGCCTCAGCCAGCTCACCCTCATCCACACAATCTCCAGGAAACATGCTTCAAACATTCTATCTTTGAAAAGACACCTTGCAGAAAATAAGTTTTCCTTTGCTGTGTGGTATTTTCTTCAGTGCTGTGTTTTTTTTTTTTTTTTTTTTTTGAGCGGAGTCTCGCTCTATTGGCAGGCTGAAGTGCAGTGGCATGATCTCAGCTCAATGCAACCTCCGGCTCCCGGATTCAAGCAATTCTCCTGCTTCAGTCTCCCTAGTAGCTAGGACTACAGGTGCACGCCACCACGCCCGGCTAATTTTTGTATTTTTATTAGAGACGGGGTTTCACCATGTTGGCCAGGATGGTCTCGATCTCTTCACCTCGTGATCCGCCCACCTCGGCCTCCCAAAGTGCTGGGATTACAGGGGTGAGCCACCGCGCCCTGCCTTTCTTCAGTGCAATTTCTAAAGAGAAACTTAAATCCTGTTGTATTCTTTCAACACAAGCAATGATACTTCTCAGAGTCTGCTCAGCTCTGTGGACTCCGTGACAAAATGTACTCGGTCCACTGCCATCTCTCTTGGTTTCTGAAACCAACCTTTCTTCCTGCTCTCCTCTTCAAGAGCAAAACCCAACATATGTATAAGGTCACAGCAAGTGGTAGCCAGGAAAAGCTGTGGGACCCCACATTTGAGTCACATCCATGTGGCATGGAGAAAGAAAACATATCTGCCAGAAGGAACTGAACTCTGAAAGTCCTAAGGAAGGTCACCATGCTCAGCAGACAGGAAAGCATTGCCAAGGGCTGTCCCTCAAGTGCTTAGTTTGCTTGGGGAGACCAGAAAGACTTCAGATCCTGACTGCCCTGGTTTGTTGAAGTTCTGAAAGGAGTGGCATGATGAAGAGCTAGTGGAGCTGAGGGAAGGAGTCGACAGCGTGGGGTGGGGTAGTGAGGAAGGCGTACGAGGAAACGAGCTGGGCCCTGAAGAAACAGGCAGATTAGGGAAGGCAGGAGAAAGAAGAGAAGGAAGAGAAACCTAACCAAAGAACCATGGGAAGCTGGAAAGTCGAGGGCACAGCCAGAATAAAGGCACAGATGGGCACCCCACAGGAGGGACCTTGGCCAGGTTGGGATGCAGAGAAAGACAGGCAGGAGGGTGTCAATCTATAGCATGCTGAACCCCAAAAAGTCTGTAACTGGATTCTCTAAGCCTCGAGAAGTTCAGACCAAAGCTTCAGACCAGGGCAAATATTTTGGAAAGATCAGTCTTTCCAAGATTGAACTTCTTTCCAAGAAGCTGCACAGGAAACCCAGTAAATGTGGATCTGAAAACAGAAAATCCAACAGAGAAGTAAAACGGGCTGGGGGTGGGCAACAAGAGAAGCAAGGAAAACGAAAAGACTGTAGCTAAGGATCTTTTATTTTTTTAAAAAACGGATAGGACTTTGGTGATGAGAGAGAAAAAGGGCAAAAGTCTGCAGTTAGGAATTCAGGTGACTGAAGACTGACCTGGACAGCTGGAAGGGACAGGCTGATGGGCAGGAGAGAAATTCCTTTCTGTGACAACCAAGCTGAACTATTCGATACCAGCAGCACTGGGTTCTTTAGGTACTAAGCCAAGACAAAGACTTGGGAATCATTCACTCCAAGGATGAAGAATGGATGTGAATGGCTGAGGAGACAGTCAAAGGAATAGAGAGGCCTGGCTTTGAGGGCCTCTTTCCCACCAGCACAAGATAAGGCAAAGGACCATTTGTCAGAGACATCAAGAAAGGGGAATTTCCATTTGGATGGTCAACAGTGTCCAGTTCCATCAAGGACAAGACTAAGCTTTGAGAAAAAGCCATGGATTTGGTAATCTGATAACTGGTAACCTTTAGAAAAGCTTAGTTGACAGACAGAGACCGAAGTGAGTTGGTAAAAGTCATGAAGAGAATGAATGGCAACTTAAGGGAAGCAACATGCTGGAGAACTTGAGTAGCAGGATGAATAACAAATAGGACAGTTGGGAACAGAAAAATCCAGGTGCATATGAAGGTGGAAGGAAAGGAGCTGGTATAGATGGGCACAATCAGAAAACACGAGGAGGGGAAAGGCAGGGATAAGGGAGGCAGGCAGGGAGAGAGAAGTGCAATAGCCACGGTCTTAGGGGATGCTAGAGGAGCCTAAAAGAAGATTCCTCAGGTTGGTGCAAAGTATTAGAAGACCAATGCATCAGTACAGAGAATGACCCAAGGGTAAGTCTTCATTCCTTACCTCCATAAAGTAGGCTACCTGCCAAGAATGAAAATGTCAACTCAAAGCTATGGGCTGTTTTAAGCAAGGTGGAAGATAATATAAGAAGCATGGTCCTTTCTTCAGACTTACTGCCTTGACAGCACAGAATCATCTTTTGTCCCTCATCTCCCAAGTTATTTGTACTTCCCTGAGATCAGCTCAAAAACAACTCTCTTTAGGCTGTCTACAATGTGGAAGAGCATGACTAGAAGAGATAAACCTTCAAACAATAGTGTGGTCTAAGACACTAACCTCACTTATCCCAGGGGAACCCACGGAATCTCTTCATTTGCATTAACTCCTGACATGGCATGGAAGAATAATTTTTATCAAATGCCCTTGGCATCTTATATCAGATTAAAGGACCATTAAATACACTGAGGTAAAAATGGGCAGAGAGTATAGTTAGTTTCTATTAATAAATCTAAGTCTATTTTGTCTGTTTTAGGCAACAAAGGCCAAATGGACTTTGTGGGAAATGTATCTCATAAAAGCCCTTTGGAAAAACTGCAGACCAAAACCAAAACCCTCCTTCATGTTTTCTCGCATGAAACATGAAGTTGCCCTATTTCAAAAAGTTCCTACTGAGTATGATTGTGTGAAAGATCACACTATTTCAAATCATATTTATTTTAAAAATCTGTGATGGGACAGTGGCCTATTAGGAAGCCCAAGTTCTGTTTTATGCTCGGCACAACCAAGTGGAAGCTGATTCACTTTGTTTCAAGTTACACAAAATAATCAGAAAATCAAGAAGATCTCATGCTAGACAGGTTAGACTTGCACCCAGAAAAGCATTTTTTTTTTTTAACCTGCTGTTTTGGTTTGCTGCTGAAGTCTTTGAAGAGAATTATGTATTCGAAGTAGCTCTTTGCCCATCGGCATTTCCCCATCTTCTATGTCTTCTGTAGGGCACATCCCCCCAAAAGTAAGAGGCCTTAGTAGAAAAGCACTTCTACCTGCAGTTTTCCCCTAGGTCTGCAGAGAGAAACCGTGAGAGTGCAATGCCACAATCAAGGGCCAACTTTCCTACAGAGCCCGGGCCCCAAGGGAGGGTGGTCAGCAGCGCAACCTGCCCAGACTGGGATATCCCTTTGGTCATAGCCGTGTTTCCACATGGCCCTCCACTCACACTCAGAGGAGGAATGGATGGAAGCCACCAGCATAAATAAAGGGAACACAGAAGAACGATGTCACCAAAGTGCAGGTGCAAACCCCAAAGCAACCCCCTACCTCTGCCAGCCCAGACTTGCCACTAAATCCTAGAGGAGGGTGTCTCTTAGGTCACAGTACTTTTTTCTTCATTTCTTTTGATTTAGAAACAAATCAGCAGGGAGGACAAGGTTCTCAAGGACAAAAAATTCAAAGCTGAAACGAGAGCAGCACAATCCATTGGTGACGTTCATCTTTTTCCAGAGGAATATACCATTCTGTTATGACTTTGGGGAGGAAAAAAAAGATCTTTTAGGAGGTGCAGGGAACACATTCAGAATTAAGACATACTGACCCACCATCACAGAAACAGCAATTAATTAAAATAGCACACAAAATGATTTTTAAAGTTTGAAATGAAACATAACACTAGAAAGACATACACTTGGAGAGATAAGAATCCTGGCTTCTGCCTCATACTGTTCTGTATTGTTGTGAATCATTTACATGTGTTTTTTGTTTTGTTTTTGTTTTGTTTTGTTTTTGAGACGGAGTCTTGCTCTGTCGCCCAAGCTGGAGTACAGTGGCACGATCTTGGCTCACTGCAACCTCTGCCTCTGAAGTTCAAGCGATTCCCGCACCTTGGCCTCCTCAGTAGTAGCTGGGATTACCATGCCCAGGTAATTTTTGTATTTTTAGTAGAGATGGAGTTTCACCACATTGGTCAGACTGATCTCGAACTCCTGACCTCAGGTGATCTTCCTGCCTCAGCCTCCCAAACTGTTGGGATTACAGGCATGAACCACTGTGCCCAGCCACATGTGTGTTTTTTTTAAAATCACAAGCTGGGCATGGTGGCTCACGCCTGTAATCCCAGCACTCTGGGAGGCTGAGGTGGGTGGATCACTTGAGGTCAGGAGTTTAAGACCAGCCTGGCCAAAAGGGTGAAACCCCGTCTCTACTAAAAATCTAAAAATTAGCTGGGCGTGGTGGTGGGCGCCCGTAATCCCAGCTACTTGGGAGGCTGAGGCGGGAGAATTGCTTGAACCTGGGTGGTGGAGGTTGCAGTAAGCCAAGATTGAGCCACTGCACTCCAGCCTGGATAACAGAGTGAGACTCTGTCTCAAAAACAAACAAATATCATAAAAAGGGGAAATCCTTAAAGTCAATTATCTGAAAAGGTAGTAGTCCAGAGCTAAATTGTAAAGCTGGCCTACTGGACTAGTTAGCAAAGATGTTGTGAGCTCAGTGGCTCGTTTTGTAGCTAATATTGAGTTGTACAAGAGAATCATGTTCCCTGCAGGAAGTTTGGGAACAATTCATATTTGGGCCACCAATGGTTCTTTGCCAATGTCCTGCTTGTTGCTATGTGAAACCAGAAGGAAGGGTGCACACTGGTAGCAATGCAGTAGAGTACACTCTTCCTACTTAGACAGGTTGTCTTTAGAGAGACCCTTGCTCAGCTCTGCTGCCATGGGGTGTGTTGACGGAAGTCAGGGACCCCAAATGGAGGGACCGGCTGAAGCCACAGCAGAGGAACATAAATTGTGAAGATTTCATGGACATTTATCACTTCCCTAGAAATACTCTTATAATTTCCTATGCCTGTCTTACTTTAATCTCTTAATCCTGTTATCTTAGGAAGCTGAGGATGTATGTCACCTCAGGACCCTGTGATGATTGCGTTAACTGTACAAACTGATTGTAAAACGTGTATATTTGAACAATATGAAATCTGATTGTAAAACATGGGTGTTTTAACAATATGAAATCAGTGCACCTTGAAAAAGAACAGAACAACAGCAATTTTCAGGAAACGAGGGAAGGCAACCATAAGGTCTGACTGTCTGTGGGGTTGGGCAGAATAGAGACATATTTTTCTTCTTGCAGAGAGCCTATAAACGGATGTGCAAGTAGGAGAGATATTGCTAAATTCTTCTCCTAGCAAGGAATATTAAATATTAAGACCCTAGGAAAAGAACTGCATTTCTGGAGGGAGGTCTATAAATGGCTGCTCTGGGAGTGTCTGTCTTATGCAGTTAAGATAAGGACTGAAATACGCCCTGGTCTCCTGCAGTACCCTCAGGCTTATTAGGGTAGGGAAAAAAATCCCACCCCGGTAAACTTGAGGTCAGACCTGTTCTCTGCTCTCGAACTCTGTTTTCTGTTAAGACGTTTATCAAGACAATATGTGCATAGCTGAATACAGAACCTTATCAGTAATTCTAATTTTGCCCTTTGCCTTGTGATTTTTGCTTTGCCCTTTGCCTTGTGATCTTTATTGCCCTTTGAGGCATGTGATCTTTGTGACCTACTCCCTGTTCATACACCCCCTCCCCTTCTGAAATCTCTAATAAAAACTTGCTGGTTTTGCAGGTCAGGGGGACATCACGGTCCTGCCAATATATGATGTTACCCCCAGAGGCCCAGCTGTAAAATTCCTCTCTTTGTATTCTTTCTCTTTATTTCTCAGACCAGCCGACACTTAGGAAAAATAGAAAGAACCTACGTTTAAATACTGGGAGTGGGGGTTCCCCCAATAGGGGTGGAAGGAGGGCTTATCTCTCTGACAGAGGAATCGATTGGCTGTACTCAGGAACTCCAGCCCACAGTGCTTAAGCCAGGCTGATGTAGGGAGTTAGAGGCCTATGTGCTTCTGGGCTTCTGTTTTCAGGGAGCGTAGTCTAGTGCTTTACCACATAAAGTGTGGATCCAGTGGCATTTGGTTTCACCTGAGAACTTCCACCATGCCTAGGCTGGGCATGGTGGTTCATGCCTGTAATCCCAGCACTTTGGGAGGTTGAGGCAGGTGGATCACCTGAGGTTGGGAGTTCAAGACCAGCCTGACCAACATGGAGAAACCCCATCTCTACCAAAAATACAAAATTAGCTGGGCATGGTGGTGGCACTTGTAATCCTAGCTACTTGGGAGGCTGAAGCAGGAGAATAGCTTGAACCCAGGAAGCAGAGGTTGCAGTGAGCCGAGATTGCACCACTGTACTCCAGCCTGGGCAACAAGAGCGAAACTCTGCCTCCAAAAAAGAAAAAGAATGTAGAAATATAGGCTCCACCCCACATCAAATGAATCAGACAATGCTTTTTATCAAAATTCCCCAAGGTGATTCAAATGCCTATTAAAGTTTATGGAGTGCTGGTAGAATGCAGAAAGCTCAAGACTGGGAGACCAGGGAGTTGCTATCAGGTCCTGATTTTGCCACTAACTTGCAGTAGAAACTTAGCGGAAAAAAAAAATGAATGTTTCTGTGCGGGCCTATTTCCTCATCTGTCAAGGGAGGGAGCTGCTGTAGAGTATTCGAAGGTCTCTTCTAGCTCTAACGTCAGAGATATGTGTATCTAGATGTTTCTAGTTTGTTGTCTAAAAAGGGCGAATGCAACAGCAACAGCACCCCCAGAATCGGCCACTGCTGCCATGGCAAACGCAAGCCCACTACTGGGTCCATCTAACGTTAACTATCCCTCCCGTGGACCTGGCTCCTCCTTCCTTACCTTCTGGTCCAAACGTTGGTAGTCACTGGCCTTTGGCCGCCGGGTGACTTTAGATCTTTTTCCTTCCAGGACAAAAGCAATGATCTGAGGAAAAGAAAAAGAAAATGATTAACAGGTAATGACATAGTTCAGTCTCTGAAATCAGAGGCAGTCACCTGGTAGCATATTTGTTAATGACCCTGACTGTAGAAAGAGCAGTACACTCACAGAGGTCTATTTAAACTTTAACCAGTTTAAGAAAGACAGAGCCTAATTACATCAGAATCTTTTGTATCGCTTAATAGGAAATAACAAATAGAAGGCTGTCTGAGTTCTAGCGTGTGGGAGGAAGTCTGTATGATTCATTCAAAGGTACACAAGTCAAAGATCTATCAACTCCTTCCTAGAGATATCTACAATAGGACATTCCTTTAAAAATAATCATAATCAGAATTTCCTATCTACAAATGTACTCTTTCATCCCACGTTGCTACATCAACTATACTCTCTGTCACTCTCATTTCATGACCAAGGTTACCCTGCATAATGGACACCTGGACATAGAATAAGAAATGCACTTTTTTGGCTGGGCGTGGTGGCTCAAGCCTGTAATCCCAGCACTTTGGGAGGCCGAGACGGGCGGATCACAAGGTCAGGAGATGGAGACCATCCTGGCTGATAAGGTGAAACCCCGTCTCTACTAAAAAATACAAAAAAAACTAGCCAGGCATGGTGGCGGGCGCCTGTAGTCCCAGCTACTTGGGAGGCTGAGGCAGGAGAATGGCGTAAACCCGGGAGGCGGAGCTTGCAGTGAGCTGAGATCCGGCCACTGCACTCCAGCCTGGGTGACAGAGTGAGACTCCGTCTCAAAAAAAAAAAAAAAAAAGAAATGCACTTTTTTTTCTTTGAGGACAGGTCTCACTCTGTCACCCAGGCTGGAGTGCAGTGGCGTGACCATGGCTCACTGAAGCCTCGACCTCCCACAGTCAAGCCATCCTCCCACTTCAGCCTCCAGACTAGCTGGGCCCACACACGTCCACCACATCTGGCTAATTTTTTTTTTATTGTATGTAGAGACTAGGTCTCGCTTTGTTGGCCAGGCTGGTCTCGAACTCCTGGGCTCAAGCGATCCTCCCGCCTCAGCCTCCCAAAGTGCTGGGATTACAGGCATGAGCCACTGCACCCAGCCAGGAATGCACATTTTTACTAAAGGTCTTCCCCTCTATTCTTTCTAGCCACAGGCCTCATGGCCAGAAATGGACTCTCCAATTTTAAGCAGGTTACAGAAACTAGCTTCTAAATTTTGGGGGCTCAATATGAAATGCAATCATTTTGTCATTAGAGTGGTTGCTAATAAACAGACCAAACCCTGCTGAAAAAGTCACAGGTGTACGTGTCTGTGCAATTTCTGGGCTTTCTTCTAATTATTATTAATTGCAGAAGTCCCTGGGCTCCTTGTTGCTGGTATTGAAGATGCAGTAATTGAAACTATTCTTTGTGCCACTGATGGAAGAGAGAATGTTGGCAAAGGAAACTAGAAATGATATGTCGTCTCAAGAATGGAAATAGTATGGAAGGTACGTGCTTTAACTGTCAAGTACTCAGGTCCTCTGAGGCTGTGAAGGGCCCAAGTGCAAAGTTATGGGAGGAGATTCCACGTCAGGTCAGATCCTAATAATGGCCTAACTTGGCTCCTAATGCAGTAGCAGAGGACACTCAAAGTAAATAGATGACAGGATGAAAACACGATTCACAAAACAAGAGTAAAAAGGCCTAATGGGGCCCGAGGAAAAAAACTGAAGTTTGTTTTAAAGTCCCCAGTGCTCACGGGCATCCAGTGATAGGATACCCACCCAAACCCAAGCTTCCAGGGTGCTGGAAACCCCACTCCCCTCCCGAAGGCCGCTCTAGACCTACCTTCCGCTTGTTGTGATGAGCGATATAGAGGACTGCCACAAGAATGGCTGCAGTCACCAGATATGCAAAGAAGTGGCTGCTCTCCGCGCTGGCATTTCCAGAACTCTCCCTATAATGGTCATCCTTCTCGCTACCCCTGGAATCCAAAAGTGTCCCTTCACGGTTTTCATTGGAGGCAGAACCGGACATCTTTTCTTTCTCTTCTTTGGGCGGTGAGCCCTCCTCGGGTCCTGTATCATCATCTTCAGCCTCTTTGGGCTCCACATCCTCAGTAGGCTCTGAAGACTTACCTTCCTCCTGCGGGGAAGAAATGAGGTCAGTGTCCTCCCCAGATTCGGTTTTGAAAGCATGAGGAGAAAGCTTCCCTTTGTCAGCTAACTGGTTTGTGTCAGCCTTGGGGAGCTCCTTGTTATCAGAAGGGTTGGAGACGGGCTTGGAATGGTCTTTCCTGGAAGGCTGCTCTGGAACCACCTTGCCAGGGCCGTCTTTTGGGGTCTGCTCCTCCGCATCTGACTTGCTAGACCCGTCTATTGGGCCCTGCTCCTCTGCACCGGACTTGTTAGCGGCGTCTTTGGGAGTCTGCTTCTCCGCACCTGACTTGTTAGGGACGTCTTTTGGGATCTGATCCTCCGCACCCGACTTGCTAGAGCCGTCGGCACCCGACTTATTAGGGACGTCTTTTGTGGTCGGCGCCTCCGCACCCGATTTGCTAGTGCTGTCTTTCGTGGTCTGCGCCTCCGAACCCGACTTGCTAGGGCTGTCTTTTTGGGTCTTTGCCTCCGCACCCGACTTGCTGGAGCTGTCTTTTGTGATCTGAGCCTCCGAACCTGACTTGCTAGAGCTGTCTTTTTGGGTCTTTGCCTCCGCACCCGACTTGTTGGGGTTGTCTTCTGGGGTCTGCGCCTCCGCACCCGACTTGCGAGGGCTGTCTTTTGAAGTCTGCGGCTCTGGATCCGAACTGCTAGGGCTGTCTACTGAAGTGTGCGGCTCCGGATCCGACTTGGTAGAGCCTCCAGGCCGTTGGCTCAAGGTGGGGTAAGTAGAGACGTTTTCTGTAGAAGGCCGAACTCCAGCTTCTTCTTTCTTGACACTTGCGGTGTCCGAGAGCGGCGCGGCTCCTAAAATAGAAAAACGACTTAGCACCAGAGAAGGGCAGGCCGGAAGAAGGAACTCCTCAGAGCTGGAAGATATTGGGAGCAGCGGGGAAACAGGGATTGGGGGGTGGGGCGGGAGATGATGGCGAGCGGAGAGGTGGGTCGGGCAGGGAAGAAGCGAGCCTAGAAGTTACCTGCCCAGGTGAGAATGGGGGATCTGGGGGCAAGAGTGGGATGCTGGATAGAGGGTCTTACCAGCCGCTGCGACGCTCAGGAGGACTAACGCAACCACGAACCTCATCCTGCTCGAATAGCGCTTCCGCCCTCTAACGCTCTCGCGAGATCCGCGCGCGGGGCCCCTCTCCAGTCCCGCCCCTGCTGCGCGCGTCTTTCCGTCTCCGGCTTCCGCCAAGACAAAGGGCGAGATTTGCGGGGGCCGCTGCTGCTGATGTCTACGCTCGCCTTCAGCTGCGGTGGTTACGGTCGCTGAGTGGAAGGTGAGCCTTTTCTTCCTGGTTTCTCGTCTCTACCACAGCCGCAACAGACTGGCCCTCCGTTTTTCGTCCTCTCCGCTGCGTACTTCCGAGACCTTACAGGCAGAGCTGGAGCTCCCTGGCCTCTCGCACTGGCCGCGGAAGTGAGGTCGCTAGGGGCAGGCGCCTCTTGGCCACCACCATCCTGTGCTTGCGTTTCTATGCTCTGCTTTTTTCGTGTTTCCCTCTTGGTAGTATACAAACATGCGGTGCTCTGGTCTCTCCCATGTGGGAACAAATCCATCCGATCACCTACAAAGCGTTGCCTTCGCATCCCGGCCCTCCTCCTTCCCGCCTCCACAGAGACTGTGTTCTCCGAGGTCGCCAAACATGTTTTCCAAAAAGTGCAGCCTTTTTCTGGTCGTAAAAGTACAGAAGCAGAAAACAAAACCTGACTGCCACCCTTCCGGGATAATCACTATTAATGTTTTAGTGTATTGTCTGCCCTCTAAACATTTAATGTTTTTTGAATAGATAATACGGTATAATGTTTCAGAAATGATAACCAGATTTTAAAGTAAATAGACCTTTCTTAGAAGAGTCTTCCTACTCCTCCACAGGTTACCGCTTACATTAGTTTATTATGTTTCCATTTAGTTTTGTAAAAAAAAAAAAAAAAAGGACACTTTCCCTTCTTAATTAGTGTATTTCTCTTTTCTATGCAGATTTATTTTCTCCGCATATTGGGATAATCAGGTAAATGGTTTTGTATCCCACCGTTTACAGTTACTGTTATGTTTATACATTAAATGTTTGAAATCACTTTATGAACGATTGCCAGGCTTGGTGCTTAGGAGACAGTGATTTAAGAAATGATAGGTCTTAAATGAAATTACATCAAGTTAAAAAGCTTCTGCACAGCAAAGGAAACAGTGAAGAAACAACCTACATAATGGGAGAACTATTCGCAAGCTATCCATCCGACAAGGGATTAATAACTAGAATATATAAGAAACTCAAGGAAAAAAATATAATTAAAAAATGGGCACCAGCCAGGGCAACATGATGAAACCCTGTGTCTACCAAAAATACAAAAAATTAGCCGGGCATGGTGGCCTGTGCATCTAATCCCAGCTACTCAGAAGGCTGAGGATAGGAGGATTATTTGAGCCTGGGAGGCGGAGATTGCAGTGAGTGAGCCAAAAATCTTATCACTGCGTTCCAGCCTAGGCAACCATCCCAAAAAAAGAAAAAAAAAATGGGCAAAAGACCTGCTGAATAGACGTATCTCAAAAGATGACATACAAATGGCCAACATAGAAATGGTATGTGAAAAGATGCTATCACTAATCGTCAGGGAAATGCAAATCCAGACCACAATGAGAGATCATCTTAGCCCAGTTAGAATGGCTGTTATCAAAAGAAAAAAAAAATACATAATGTTGACAAGGATGAGAAGAAAAGGGAATGCTCATATCCTGTTGGTGGGAATGTAGATTAGTACAGCCATTATGGAAAATAGTATTGGCAGGGCATGCAGGCTCACACCTGTAGTCCCAGCACCTTGGGAGGCTGAGGCAGGCAGATGACTTGAGCCCAGGAGTTCGAAATCAGCCTGGGCAATGTAGCAAGACTCTATCTCTATAAAAAAAATAAAGGAAAACAGCACAGAGTTTCTCAGAAACTAAAAATAGAACTGCCATATGATCCAGTATTCCCACTGCTGGGTATGTATCCAAAAGAAAGGAAATAAGTATGTCAAAGAGATAGATACTCTTGTAATCCCAGCACTTTGGGAGGCTGAGGCGGGAGGATGGTGTGAGCCCAGAAGTTCCAGACCAGACTGGGCAACATGGCAAGACCCCATCTCTTTTTTTTTTTTTTTTTTGAGACAGTCTTACTGTGTCACCCAGGCTTGAGTGCAGTGGCACGACTTCAGCTCACTGCAATCTCCATCTCCTGGGCTCTAGTGATCCCCCACCTCAGCCTTCCAAGTAGCTGAGACTAGTGGATCTCATGAAAGTAGAGGTGGCTACCAGAGGCTGGGAGGGGATGAGGAGAGGGAAGATGAAGAGAAGTTGGTTAATGGGTACAAAAATACAGATACATAAAAAGAGTAAGTGTTCTGTAGTCAATACAGTAGGAAAATTATGGTTAACAATAACATCGTATATTTCAAAAGAGAAGAGTTGTAATGTTCCCGATACAAAGAATAGATAAATATTTGAGGTGATAGATATCCCAGTTACTCTGATTTGGTCATTAAATATTGTATACCTGTATAAAAATACCACATGTACCCCATAAATATGTACAACTATATAAAAAAAATTTTTTTTGAGACAGAGTTTTGCTCTTGTTGCCCAGGCTGGAGTGCAATGGCGCGTTCTTGGCTCAGCACAACCTCTGCCTCCCAGGTTCAAGTGATTCTCCTGCCTCAGCCTCCCGAGTAACTGGGACTACAGGCATGCACCAGCACACCCAGCTAATTTTGTATTGTTAGTAGAGACAGGATTTCTCCACGTTGGTCAGGCTGGTCTTGAACTCCTGACCTCAGGTGATCCACCCTCTTCAGCCTCCCAAAACGCTGGGATTACAGGCGTGAGCCACTGCGCCCAGCCCTATATCAAGTTTTTAAGGTAGGTATTAACTTCATGGAGCATGCAATCTTTTGGGGTACATAAATATTAAATATCTGTGCGTGCATGCACATTCCAAGAACTGCCAGAAAGAAAAGTACAGAAACTATGAGATCATTTGAGGAAGGGACCCTTAAGCTGAGGACTGAAGGTTATAGCTGTGTCCCAGGTGAAGAGGAAAGGAAGAGGAGGATGAGCTTTCCTGGCTGAGTGTACAGCATGTATTAGGTTGGTGCAAAATCAATTGCGTTCTGGCCGTTTGACAAAAACAGCAATTACTTTTGCACCAACCTAATACAATGGTCTGCAGACAGGTGGGAACCTGGTATTTTGTGTAAGTCTAAAGACTACAGTTGTCAGATAATACAGAAGAAGGAGAAAGGCAGGAAAGAGGCTGGAACAGAGCCAAATTGAACAAATGATCTGAGAATTGTCTAGAACATGAATCTACTAAGCACAAAAAGTACAACAGAAAATATGCCAGTTAACTTTGTGGGTTTTGTTTTGTTTTGAGATGGAGTCTCCCTCTGTTGCCCAGGCTGGAGTGCAGTGGCGTGATCTCAGCTCACTGCAGCCTCCGCCTCCCGGGTTCAAACGATTCTTCCACCTCAACCTACTGCTTAGCTGAGATTACAGGTACCCACCACCAGGCCCGGCTAATTTTTGTATTTTTAGTAGAGATGGGGTTTCACCATGTTGGCCAGGCTGGTCTCAAACACCTGGCCTCAAGTGATCCACCCACCTCGGCCTCCCAAAGTGCTGAGATTACAGGCGTGAGCCACTGCTCCCGGCCATATGCCAGTTAACTTTGATTGAAATGTAAACTAGGCCAGGCGCAGTGGCTCAAGCCTGTAATCCCAGCACTTTGGGAGGCCGAGACGGGTGGATCACGAGGTCAGGAGATCAAGACCATCCTGGCTAATATGGTGAAACCCCGTCTCTACTAAAAAATACAAAAAACTAGCCGGGCGAGGTGGCGGGCGGCTGTAGTCCCAGCTACTCTGGAGGCTGAGGCAGGAGAATGGCGTAAACCCGGGAGTCAGAGCTTGCAGTGAGCTGAGATCCGGCCACTGCACTCCAGCCTGGGCGACAGAGCGAGACTCCGTCTCAAAAAAAAAAAAAAAAAAAAAAAGAAAGAAATGTAAACTAGTCCCAGACGTGCCAGAAAGAACTACAGCTGCCAGGGGAAATAACTCCTCTGTAGTCTACTGAGTACAATATTTGGCTTACATGATGTGCAGTTCTAGTCAATTAGAATTCTTCAGAATTTCAAGGAATAGTACATGTAGTGGCATATAATTTTCAGGAACAAGTGCTTTATTTTTATTTTATTATTATTTTTTGAGACAGGGTCTCATTCTGTCACCCAGGCTGGATATTTTTTAATTTAAAAAACAATTAATATGTTCTCAGTATGTTTCTGTGTCGAAGAAAATGTCTGTCACACATACACTCATTACCGAAGAGAAAATAAGAATTACAGGAAGTGAGAAATCTTTTGCCAAACTATTTCAGAACCTTGACTCCACTTTGGCTGAAAGAAATGAACTGGTAAATCAATTTGTTTCTAAAAGAAAACTCTGGCCAGGTGCAGTGACTCTTGCCTGTAATCCCAGCACTTTGGTTGGGAGGCTGAGGCTGGCTGATTGAGCCCAGGAGTTCAAGACCACCCTGGGCAACGTGGTGAAACCTCGTCTCTACAAATAATTTTAAAAATTAGCTGGGCATGGTGTGCACCTACAGTCCCAGGAGCACTGAGATGGGAGAATTGCTTGAGCGTTGTAGGTGGAGGCTGTGGTGAGCTGTGATCAGGTCACTGCACTCCAGCCTTGGCAACAAAATGAGACTCTGTCCTAAAAAATGAAAAAAAAAAAAAAAAAGAAAGGAAAGATTAAATTCTGGCTGGGTGGGGTGGCTCAAGCCTGTAATTCCAGCACTTTGGGAGGCCGAGGCAGGCGGATCATTTGAGATCAGGAGTTTGAGACCAGCATGACCTACATGGTGAAACCCTGTCTCTACTAAAAATAAAAAAAAAGTTAGCTGGGCATGGTGGTGCATGCCTGTAATCTCAGCTACTTGGGAGGCTGAGGCAGGATAATCACTTGAACTTGGGAGGCAGAGGTTGCAGTGAGCTGAGACTGCACCACTGCACTCCAGCTTAGGCAACAGAGCAAGACTCTCTCAAAAAAAAAAAGGAAAAGAAAATTATTTCTATCTCCCCTAAATAAATGTCTGACTAACATTTAA